CGTGGGAGGGCGGGCGTTCTCTGGTCTCCTTTCCCCAGTGACTGCTTCGCTCCGAGCTTCCCTTCCCGCCCCCTTGGCAATTCCCCTCAGACACCGATGTGAACGTGGCTGCGGCGCCCCAGATACCAGTCCAGCCCACGTCTCCTTGAGTGGAGTCTCACCTGTGCTCCCTCCAGCCCTTCCCTCACCATATGTTGTGGATGCTGTAGGGCCTCGCTGCCTGCGAGCCTGTCGGTTCTGGAAACTCCTTCCCTCTGCTTGTGGGAAGGATCATCACGTGTCATGGAAGGGATTTCGGCTTGATTTATACTTGTTCTTTCTGCACTTTCCTTTCCCTGTGCCTGTGCTATCTTGATTGAATGACGTGAGAAGAAAAAGGTGGTATTTTAATGATAGGAAGATATCTGTACGGAGGACGTGTTGCTCTTAAATATTTAATCTTTAGAGTACTCCTACCTGACACGAGGTTGTAGTGAGGTGGGAGTTGGTCTGTCTACTGTGCCTGCAGTGAGGGCCAGAGGAAATGGCCTAAACTGAGACAGGGGAGATTCAGATTTGATATTAGAAAATGTTTTTCCCTCTTGTGGTGCTCAGGCATTGGAATAGGTGCCCAGGGAGGTGGTGGAATACCCGTTTGTGGAGATGTTTAAGAGCTGTCTGGATGTGGCACTGAGTGGTGATTCAGTGATTTAGGGTTGCAGGGACAGTGCTGGGTGGATGCTTGGCTGTATGATCTTAAAGGGCCTTTCTAACTTTCATGATTCTATGGTTCTAGATGTCTTGATTATTCAAGGTTTGTATGGAAACATTAGGTACCATTGTTTAAGAGACATCTGAGGCATGAAAAACGCAATTTAGAGCTGGGAGTGTCACAAATTTATGAGCCCTCTGTTTGATCCTCCCTCCTAGAGAAGGTTGGTTGAAAAATGAAGCTCTGCAGTTGTCTTGTGTTTGGGGTTTTTTTAATTGACTGCTTGTGCTGGTGATTGGAGTCCTGAATATCTATGTGTGTTTTTCAGTTGCAAAAACTGCCTTAATTATTTTCCCGCCCAGCTGGTATTTTAGTGCTATTACCATAAAGCATAATGCTGAAAAATTCAAGTAACTGGGTCTGTGTGTAGTTTTTCTGGCTGGATGCTCGGTGAAAAAAAAAAAAAAAAAAAACTTAATAGTAGTGGAAGACTCTTGATACAAGTACAAAAAAAATATTATGCTTTCAACTTGCAGCTTAGATTAAATAAATCTGGACATAAACAGACTCCTCTGTGTGGTCAAATACTTTAAAAGAAAGAGTGTTGCAGTTTAATCAGTTTCTTTCATTTTATGTTATAAATGCCTGAATGGGCTTCAGCCCATTGCAGTGAGTTCCAGTTCCCTCACTTCATTTCTCGAGGTGGCAGTCCAGTTTCCCTTCCCATGCTTGAACACATGCTGCTGTCACTCACAAAGACATCGTGGCTGGAGCTGGAGGTGTGCTGTGCTGCCCTGCCAGTACCAGTGAGCTCCTGGCTGCTGTTCAGGGCCTTTTGGAATGGTGCAGTGTGTAGGAATAAGCTTTTCAGGAGGTGTGGTTACTGCAGCCTGCCTGCTCGGAGAGAAGTTGGATGCTACTGACTTCACAGTCTGAAGTCAGAGTCCTGAACTGGGAAATGAGTTAGAAGTCAGTTCATGAGATTTCTGACAGTGTTAGAACACACAATGCTATTTCTGCCTAATGTTGGCAGAATTGGCTTAATTGGAGCCAAGGGTGTCATGGTTTGTTCATATTCTTCTGTAAGAATTGAAAATCACCCAAAAGAGCAAAAAGTGGACAGCACAGAATTGGTTTTGATGGCATTGCCTTTACCAGGAATGCTTTTAAGTTCTGAGGGAGCATGAAAAAAAACCCCAAACCAATAGCTATTCATATAGAGATGGCTTTCTTCAATTATTTGTTTAGCCCTCCACTTGTGTTTCCACTCCAGGTTCCTGTCCTGCAAAGCAACAATGGCCCCGGGCTGAGGGGGCTGATGACCATCGCTGCCCACCTGGTCAGGCAGGCTAGGAAGGAGCAGCTGCTGGGCAGCACTGCTGAGGAGAAGGCTGTGGTGCAGCAGTGGCTGGAGTACAGGGTGACCCGGGTCAATGGAGGCTCCAGCAAGGAGGATACCAGAACAATTCTGAAGGTGAGGAGTGCTTCGTTACCTTGCCACTGAATTTTGGAATGACTAGACCTTGAAGGAAATTACAGTGCTAATGTGTGTATGAGCATTCAATTAATAAAATTTAACAAATGCTAAGGCTTGACTGTATCACTAAGTTCTGGCTTTTATTCCTCTTGCTGCTTTTCACTTTTATTGACAAAAATACCCTGGCAACCTGAAACAGGAAAACGGCTAAAACTGTGACATATATGAAGCAAAGCTCTTGCAGTGCTCAATGGCTGTAAATTGTGAAGGGTGTTCCACACAGTTTAGAGGCTGTTGAGCTGCCTGTGTGAGGCACCAGTTTCTTACTATCTTCATAAACCCTTTGTTTTAAGCAAGTTGGTGTTGTATTCCAGGACAACACTTCTCTGTTTGTTTTAAGAGCTGTTCTTAATGATGTGGCAGTTATGGGATACAAGCCATACTTGATGCTGTGGTCATTGATATTGATGCTAAAAGGAGGTACTGGACAGAATTGTGTGTGAAAACTGAAATCATAAAGGAACAACTACATAACTGTCCTTAACATGGAGTGACTTTGTGTGGAGTCCTTGGTCTGCTGTTATTAAACTTTTATTGTAGGCTGAAGCTTACTTCCTCTTAAACAGGTGGAAGCAGAAAAGAAAATCTTGGAAGTCCCCCTTGTTGTTAGAGCAGCCAGATGACGAGGAGCGGATAGCAAAACTTACTCTATTTTCCCTATTCCTTGCAACTGGTAATAAGTATTTTTGCAGTCTTGGGGGAACAACTTGAAGACAAAATTTGCTTTACACTGTTAAACACTGTTTACAAAATATGTATAAAAGAGCAGTGAAATTCAATCACTTTTTAAAGTGTTTATTTTTTCTAGTTTTAAAAGTATGTTTTACATGGATGGTACATTTTACATGTTCCATTGGTCGATGCTGCCAGTGAGTCTGAGTTTAGAAATTTGTGAGCTGCAAGGTTGATTCTACTTGAACCTTGCAGAGTCCTAATAACTTCTGGCTCTGGCAAGGTGGGCAGAAACCAAAGATAAACTGAAGCAGTATTAACATTGTTACTTAAAATAAAGGAAAAATGTGTCTTAAAGTGATACAAAACAACTCTTTGTTGCTCTTCGAGCTGATAGCCCTCTTGATCTTGAGACTGATGGTGCCTGCATTACCTACCAACTAGGTGAAAACCCTGACAAACCATTTCTCTCACTTGAACCCCAAATAATCTGAGTTATCTCGGTTTCATTGTATCTGGGGAATATCTTCCATTGGTTAATCATGAATTTGTTTACATTGCTTTTCTTTTTGTAACATATCTGCTCTTACTTTCTATGTGTAAATGCTATCAAAACCTTCACAGTCATGGTTTATCTACACATACAGCATGAAACCTGTCTAGCCTTTAGGATTTTTAGAACTTAATTGAAGGAGGCATTGACTAATCAGGGTTTAGCTTCAGATTTAGCTGTGGTATGACTAGGTGGCCCATGGAGGTCCCTGTTGTCTAAACTTTTATACCAAGTGTCACAGAGTTTCAGTCATTCTTTGAACAAACTTGAAATTTGTGATGCTTTATGTTCTCCCAAACTGTGAGAAAGCCATATGAGAATAAATAACTAACTTCCATTTACCTCTCTTGCCTTTTATAAAAACCAAAAGCAAATTTTCTGTCTTGTTATAACAAAATTTATCTGCTCAGGATGGTTTTAGGGATGATATTTGCAGTGTAAGCACATGCAAGAGTATTTGCAGAACTGCATTGGAGCATTAAAACCAGATGCAGTGATATAGCAGTTTCCTGCTGGAGCTGGGATCTCTTTCCATCTTTGGCCTTAGTGACACTGGTTGTGTAGAAAAGGCAATATGCTGAATACAAATATGTAGATGTATCAAGTGTTTCCAAGCAAAGCAAAATTTCCTTACTGAGGAACAGTCAGTGTTACTTTAGAGAGAATCTCTGCCTTGAAGTGCATTTAAAAGTTTTGCTGTGGATTTTTTTTTAAGCAAGTGTTGAATAACCAGAATTTATTTTAACACAAGGCTGCTGTGGAATTGTTTCAGCACTAATAATTTCATAGTATAGCAATTAAGAGCCTTTTTTTTGTAATTTGTTCTCCTGTCACCATGATTAATCAGAAAAGGGGCAGCCTACCATTAAAGTATACTGTGCCAAAAGGGAGTAAGGGTGGAAAAAAAAGAAGAACTAAAATAGGGAGGGAAGTCTGAGGCTGTAGTTTTACAACGTGTCTGGAATACACAATGGCAGCCTTGGGACGATTGCAGCCTAGAGCCGCAATTTATAATAAGCTGCACCAAAAACAGTTCAGTAACTTCTGCTATAAACTTTAGGCTGCCTCTATTTAACCCTTAACTGATGTTGTTCTACAAAATGTCAGTAAATAACTGGTTTCATGTTTGTTAATTTGAACGGGAAGGATTTTCTGTTTGCGAAAATAGGTTGTTAAGTTGTTCTTACTGATGTGTTGCCTTAAGCTGTTACTTGGCAGGAATATTATGGTGAAAGAGACCATCTCAATCAGGGTTTTAATATTCATCCAGAGCAAATGCCACAATGTTCAGAATGGACCAATAAAGGGCTTGTTGAGTTTTGTCTAATTTTGATTTGTGCTTGTGTACTTGACAAAATAACTGGGAGCAGTACTTTTGCTCCAAATCTGTTCATCAGCAGATCCATAGGAATGATGAATGTCAATAGCAGTAACAGCATAATATACAGTGCATTATATTAACTTTCTTTTCCACAGGATGAAGGAGTATAATATTTTGTTTCTTTGATGTTTAGTTAGTGGTAAATTAAGCTGCATAGGAAAAAAAATCTGAAAATTTCTGAGTTGTCATGCAGGATAAGCAGTGTTTTTTCTGTTTCTCTGTGCCATCAAATGTCTACTTAGGTGTTAGTGAATTCTATTCAGGAGATTTTAATGTCTCTGCTTTATCAATTTTAGGTATTTTATACCTGAGGATTCTTCCCCCCACCCCCCATACTCCATCTTCAGAAACCTCTGACAAATAACTGGTAGCTTGTTAAATTCATATAAAAGCATCCACATAAATGTAGAAACTTCTGTTCTGTGAAGGATAATAACTAAGGGTCTCTGTGTACTACTTCCAGTGTCTCATACAGAACAATGTTCCATGATTTCAATTAGCTTTATCTCAGTCTCCTGTGCTGCCTGTCTGTAATAATGAAATCCAAATAGAAATCTGAATAAGAGAGCTGTAATTTCTGTTTAATGTGCTTGCTTGAAAAATTACTGTTTCCACAGGTGCAAAAGCAGGTTAATCCATGCTCTGTTCACAGCATTAATCCACAGCTCTGTACACTGTTTTTTTGTACACTTACAGGTTTAAAGATTGAATTTTTATTATTGCAGCAACATTTGATTATTTTTTTTCTTTTACGAGAAACTCAGTAATATGATATTCTTCCAGACCAGATTTAGCTCATAGTTTGCCAGTTAGAGAGAAGAGTCTTGCATGAGAATTAAAAATATGTCTATATATCAAAAGTGTAGTTCTGCTTTTCTTGGATGTGGCTGCAGAAACCCTTTCTTGTGTTCTGCGTTGTCAGGGGCTTTCCTGAAACATTTGAGAGTGCTCAGCTTTTTGTCTTTGCATGGTGTGAGAGACATAAAAGCATTTAGGGCATAAATGACCTCGGGAATCTTGCTGACTGAAAGGACAGGACATCTGTGTGTACGGGAAGCACGTACACCAGCAGGGTGTTGTGGGCAGAATATCCAGAACAAAATCAGAGTGTGATTACGTCCATTGGAAGCTCCTGAGTTGTCCTAAGAGGCAACTGTTCCTTGTCCAAGCTGCTGTCACAACTGGCAGTGACTGGCAGGGATTCCTGAGCAGATTAAATGGATTAGGGGCCATTGGATTGCATATTTAACAGGCAGAAAGCAAGGCTGGGGGTGCTCAGGAGTGTGAATGGGATGCGTTGAGCTGTTGCTAGATACAGGCTGTAAATTGGATTTTTTTTTTCCCCATAGAGCAAGCAAATGGAAATACATCAGTTAGTCCATAAATAATGCAACAACTCTTTCTGTTGCTTTTCTCCCTCTCAAAATGGTGTTTGAATTGCTGCAGTTGTTCAGTGTATGTTAATGCATTGTAATGCAGCTATGCCTTAAGTATGTCTGAAATTTGAGAGTTTCCTGAGGGGAATGCAACAGTAAGTTTATATAGTTACAAACAATTTTTGGGACTATCTTAGTCTTTTAATCCTGAGTTTGTATATATGGAATTCATTTAAGTAGTGGCATTCAGTACATGAAGGACAAATTATTCAGATGACAGCCAGCAGACCTGAATTTCCTGCATGTGATAGAAGTTCTATAGAGTTTTGTGTTCATATTTTCATTAATCTCTCCAGGACTGGAACACTATTTCACTTAATTACAATGGTCACTTGAGCAAACTTGACTTTGAGGAATTTTAGCACATTTGGCTATTAGCCAGTAATATAATCATCCATGGGAAGCACAGCCCATGCAGCAAGATTAACTAGATGTGCCTAATGCACATGAAAAAAATACGGTGTTTCAGAATTAGTGTGACTTGCAGAATGAAATCAAAGTATCTGTCTGTATTTTAGTGGAGATAAGTACATGTTCAAAAACAGAACTGTAAACTAATGCTAATTTATACAAGACTAAACCATTTTTGTCAAATTTAATTTGCTCAGTTAACTGACTTCATAAAATTTGATGAACCAGAATAAATAATTGTTCATGCTATAATGGCTTACCTTGCCTTTAAAGTTTTAGGATTTTTTTATTGATGACTATTTTGAATGTACATATGCAATATAAAACTCAGAATTAGCATGCTGTAATTTCTTTGATGCAGAAATCCGAAATTTTCAGCAGGTGTATAACTATGGTGATGATACCTTCAAAGATAATGAGCTTTTTCATTTACAAAATACTGATTCCGTAGCCTAAGCTAAGAAGAAGAGAGGAGGAGGGGGAGAAAATATAATTTCAGCTGTGTTAGTTTTCATTATAATGCATGAGGAATTTCTGGTTAATTGAAATGAAAAATGCTGGTCAGAGAATTTGTTTCAAAACAGACAAGTTTGTGGTTTTTGCGTTTTTTCTAGTAAAGCAGATCTTTAGGTTTGGGGGTTTTTTTCTTCCAAGTTTTTTCTTCTTAACACTGGATTTTCCTTTGTGTTGTATTGTAGGAAATGCCACAGAACTGTAGTTACATGTTTGAGGTAATTCGAGCCCCCACTAACATGAACAAAGCAGTAAACCAGTCTAAAGAAAAGAAGCTACATAGCCAGGGGCAGTTGACCTTACAGAATTTTAACTGTGCAGGGGTTAATATGTTTCCCTGATTTGCTCTAATAAAAGAAATCAAAGCAGACATGGGGATGTTCAAATATTACAGAAGTACAGGAGTCCTGTCATGAAGAGGTAATCAAAGAATAGTAAGGTAGCTTAATGGAGTCGAACTTGTCAAAAGCAAATGCAAGGTTAGATGTCTTAAAGTCTCAGCATTCTAGTTTTGTGTTTTGGTCTTGGTTTATTTTCTATACATGCATTATAGGAAATCTCTCTATCAGTAAAATTATGGAACCACAAAAACATGCTAAAGGCCAAATATAATTTTTTAATTGTTCACTAAGTATTAACCCCTTTCTCCTTGCCCAAGATTTATTTTTTCAATAAAGTGTCTGAAAATGGAATTTGCTGTAATTGAGACTGAAAAATTAACATTTTTGAAAATGTTAGTTATGTTTAAGCTGCTTACCTCTGTTTCTAGGGCAGGGGAAGGGAGTGGCTTAAGCAGATGTTGTGTCCTTCTTTTTTTTCTCTCTGATGAGGGGAGTTTCCAAATCCAAGTGAAAGCTGGGAAACTGTTTCTATAGATGTCTGAAAATAATACTGGAAAACCAAAGCTGGCTTATGCAGGTTAAAGTGGATAATTTTGTTGTTAAAGTTCTTTAGCGAAAAGGGGGGGGGGCAAAAGGTTTATAAATTGCATGACAAGTAGGTAAGATTTGGAGAAGAGGAAGGACAGGTAAGAGAGGTAGAGCTGCTGTGTGGTGCCTGTGTCCTCAGAATGATAAACTCAAGCAACAGTGAGCCTGTCAGTCTCTTGGTTTTTGGCAGAGATTGGCTGCATACAAAAAGCCATGAAAATGAGTCTTTCTGTTAATAGCCATTTGAAATAATTATTTACTGAACCTGAACAGAAGCCACCTACTACCCACCCTGATGGCTTCTGATCTGGAACAGTTGAGAGATGGTCTTAAAATGCTGAAATTCTCTCTTCTGAGAGACTTGGACAGCAGCTGAATTAACAATATCAGTCACAAAGAATTGTTAGCAGTAATTTCAACATTAATAAAAGCAGGTGTCAAGTGATAGCAGCTGATGGGTATCAAGTTACCAGTATCAAGCTTGAAACACCTTGTTTCCCACCCCACTATTCCTGTGTGCTTCCCTGGTTCTTGGACATTTGGTGCTCCAGAGCCTTGCTGACCAGCTGCATGGAATCCTGCAGGACAGGCTTTGCTGCTGCTGGGAGAGCAGTGTGCTGTCCTTTTGTCATAGGACTGCTTTTTCTATTAATCAAATGTTAACATTTGAATTTGCACTCATAATAAATGCACAGCTCTCCTAATTTTTGAATTGCAGTCATTTAAAGCCAAGAAAAGACAGACTTGAAAATATTTCAGTGGAGTCAGCTTAAAATCAATTGCACTTGCATTTACAAAAAATTCACTGTGTATAAACTACTTTGTTTAGAGACCAGCATTTAAATTTTACCTAATTCTCACAGTCAAAGATTGATATTTTATTTTATTATCTTATCACTTACTTTCTAGATTTTTTTCTTTTATTGTTTGTTTCATTTGCTGAATAAGGATAACTTAAAACTGATGTTTATTTTATATGCATGGTCTCCAGAGGAAATTCCTATTCTTTTAACAGCTGCCTTAATATATCATTTCACAAAGTCAATACTACAGCAGTGTAATGACTTTTTCCTTTTTAGGATCTTAACATGCACCTTGAAGATAAAGTCTACCTTGCAGGAAACATTTTTACCTTAGCAGACATTTTGATGTACTATGGATTGCATCATATCATGGTAAGCATTACTTGCATCATTTTTATATGTGCAACTATCATAATTCTTATTTATCTAAAGGGCATTTTATTGTTGTAGAAGTTAACTAACAGAACAGAGAAAGATAAAACTTGTTTTATCTTTCAGGTTTTTCATTTTATTCTTTAATATTTAGCTGTGTATCTGTCAAAAGACCTGTAGTGTCAGAATGCTTTAGTTTCCTCTGCAAAATATAGCAAGGATGATACCTATCCCTGTGTTTCTATGATTAAGGACTCTTGCCTTTTCAAGTCTGAAACATCACTGAACTGCAGTACAGAAGTACATGGGCAAATAGATAAATGAAGCTGAAAGGATGTGCCAGAACTGAAAATTGACTTTGTTAGTATTAGAGAAATAGAAATGCATGTAAATTAAGTTCTTTAATGCATATAAAAAAGTTTGAGACATAACAAATTGTCATTTGTGTTTCCAGACTTGATAAGGTACATAATATGAAAATAACACAGGGAGCTGGTGCTTAAGGGGAAAATGTAAAAAAACAAAACCCATGCCAATAATAAATTTGTTCTAAGTGGGGAAGATGTTGAGATTATTTGTAGTCCACTCAGGCTACTATGAAGTGCTTAAAAATTTGTGCACCTTCAGTTCTGAACCCCAAGTACTAATTTAAAGATAAAGCAGTAGAAGCTATTTGCATTTTGGTAGCTGGAATGTGTTTGTAAATGAGCCATTGTCATTCTCTGGAGTGGGAAGAAACCAAAGGACTCTCATAAAAAGGTCTTCTTAATTCTTGGGAAAAGATGAAATCAGTCAGTTTTGCATTAGAAGATTGAGGAGGGGAGTGAGGATAATTAGAAGAAGATGCCTCTGACAAATGGATGTGTGTCTGAGAATTGAATTCAATCAACTGGGTGAATGGTTACTTTTACACAATTAAAAGCAGAGCTCTGGGAGAAGTGTAGAGGAATACATTTTAAAATGGAAGCAGAGGGGAGGGGCAATCAAGTAGTGAAATTCTACCAGAAATGAAAGGAAACTTATCTATCTGTATCTTGACTGTCCAGGAGTAAAAGTTCAAATAAGTGTCAAGCAGAGGAGAGCAAAGCTTCATTTCAAAAGGTTTTTGAAAACCTGCTAGAGTAAGTCACATAGAATTAATTCTGTTAAATCATATTTACCTTGTAAAGTATCTTAAGCAGTAGGATAGATGTGTTGATTACAGAGTCAGAATGGGTTACCTTTCACATATGATATGCAGACATAAAAAAGACTATAAGTATTTTCTAAAAATATGATTGTATATTCTGTAAGAGAGTACAAGTTGCAATGAGTCTTTAAAAAAAAAAAAACTTGGCAAGGGAAAATCCAAGTGTATTTTAAATTTCGAGTTTGCTCTAGAGTAGACCACCTAATCAAGATGAAAAGATACAAGTTATTGCTTTGGGAAATAGAACAGATGGTAAAAACAAATGACTTGGTGCTCCTGTGTGCCTGCAACCATCCAGACACTACTTGGGACAAGTTTGTAGTACAGCATCTGTTTCTGAATGTTTGATTTCATCGAAGATAATTTTCTGAATCAGAAAGGTATAAAGGACTAGCAATGGGGTGACTGTTCTAAATAAATATGAAAATCTAGAAGCTACTAACTAGCAATTACATGTAATATGAAGGTTTCAGAATTGATAAACATATAGAGATAGAGGCAGAATCTTGAACTCTAGAGTCTTGTGGGGTTTTTTTTTGATGTCTTTTAATTATTTTTAATTTTCTTGTAAACAAAAGAGAGTATGTCCAGAGCTGCTGCTCTGCCCTAAGCTTAATGGGAGAATCAGGGAAAGTTGCTGTATCTCCTCATTTGAAGTGGTTCAGAGAAGGAGATTGTCATATCCCCCACTGCTTCAGCTAAGCCATGTGCAAAATATCAATATGTGTTTCATATGATGCTGTAAGAAAGGAGGTAGAAATGGGAGATGTGGGGCATAGGGCAAACCCACAGATCTTGCTGTCCATCAAGTTACCTAGAAATTTTATCTAAAAACATCACTGGTAGTACCTTAAAGGTTAATCTCTGCTTTTGATAGGCTGAAAACTACATGCTAGCACAGACATTAGTGATAGGATACTGTAAATACTTCTGGCATACCATGGTCATCCTGAATAAGCCAAGTAGAAAAACTTTAAAACCCTTCTGATGCACATTTCGTTGGAAAAGTGTGTAAGACCAGCCACTCCTATAGCTCAGTTCTTCACCTGTGGTGTCCTGGTTTCTCTGAGTATAGATCATGCATCGTTGTATTCATTCCCCCTCCCATCCTCTTTTGCCCTTCCCATTATCCAGGAGGGGTTCTGGAGTCTGGTTCTTCACTGTCCAGGCTCATCCATTTGACCTGACAGTTTGTTAACTGAACAGCAGCAACCCTTAATTCTGCTGCTGTGTGCCTGCCTTTCATTCTCCCTGTCCCTTTTAGTTATCCTAATAAACATAATAGTGCAATGTGTTTAAAAATCCATATTGTGGGGAAAAAATTATTATTTCAATCAGTGAGAATCAGATTCACAGGTAGTGTTTCAGGGTTCTTGCACACAGAATCTGTTTGGGTCTTTTAATTAGAAATACACACTCATATATAGGTTTGTGACCTAATATAGGTCACAGACATGAAAAAAATATAATGCTTGATACTTCCTTTTCAATCAATGTGGTCTACATTGTCATATGTAATTGATGTCTCTGTGTACGTAACATTAATATTGTTGTCTTATAGACACTTCAGTTCCAGAAATACATATGTGGATAAATGTGGATAATAAAATTCTACTAGGTTAAAGCATAGATTGCAGTGAAAACTTGAATTTAGAAGTGTTGCTTGAGGTTAGCTTAGGCAATCAGTAAGCATTAAATTCCTCCTGTGGTAATGAACTTGTTTACTAATCTGGGGGATTTTTAAAATTATTTCTTTGAAAGTTTCCAGATGTCTTCATTCTTAAATGTTTTTGACCAGCACAAGTCCAGTTCTATTTAAAGAGAAATAATCAATATGATGATTGGTCTGCTTTTATACTTCAAAAATTTTGTCAGAACCAAGGAAATGCTCTCAAATCTATATGTCTGACTTGAAATTTTTTTTAAAAAGGTCTGGAAAATTACTTATGGGTGAAGTTTATATCTGCAAATGGAAGATTCCTCAGTCAAAATTTTGGTGTCAAACCAAATATGATCAAGCACAGAACAAAGTAAGCAGTTGTCCTTGAGTCAGAACCACTAATATTGAACTATAATGAGACTGAGGGAGAAGAATTTCAAGGAGTTATAAATAACTATAATAAACTACAACAGTAGTTTATTTTGGAGCTATTTTTCCCATAAGGAACATTTCCCGTAATAAACAGACTGCCATGACTTTTTGTTAAGATTCACTGATATGCTGCTTATTTTAGTACTGAGGTAACAGGCTTTTCTTCTAAGCAATGATGCTAAAAATGGTTCTTCAACTGAATTGCAAAAGAAGCAGCTTTAACTTAAAAAAAAAAGATGTGATTTTGAGCTTATTCCTTTAGCAGCTGAAAATTAGACCGAACTATGAGAAGGTACATGTATGTCATGAAATATACCATCCAGATGTTGGGTTATTTTGTCTTTCTCCCCTGTCTAAAGGTTAAATTTAAAAAGTCAGGTAGTATCTATCCTTGTCTTGGTGCTGAAGAGGTTCATATGTAGGGAGGTATTTTTAGATTTTCTGTGACCTGCAGGTTGTGGGAATGGGGCTTTATGCCTGCATCCCCAATGCGATAGAAAGAAAATATAATTAAAGCTTGTGTATTTTTAGCCCTTTCAGAAACTCTTAAAGTTGCATTGTATGATAACCACCTTGGTGCCCCTCAGTGAGCTTTGTGGTGGAAGAAAAAGACTTTTTTTTTTCATCACATGAAAGAAAAAAAAGTCTGTCAAATTAAGTGTCTGCTTCTTTGCTATTAAAATAATTGCTTTAATAGCAAATAATTATTTTAACAGCAGAACAGCAGCCTTTCTTAACTTGGGGGAATTATCTAATTTAATGAGGAAGAACAGAAAATACCCATCTAACAAAATGTTGTAAAAAATGCCATGGAAGTGATCTCTAAACAATTAACCTAAGAGTTATGTTCAGAGTAAAAAGTAGAGCATGCCACAAAGTGCTTTTTAATATATTTCACTGATAGAGTACATTATGTAAATAAGTAAAAATATCTCGCTTGTTGTGCCTAGAGTACAAAAAGGGGTCTTATTATTAGCATAGCTGTTTTGCCCTTCAGATGTTTTTTCACTATGCTAACAGAATGGAAGAGGACTAGTTTTCCAGACTTATATTTTTGATTTACATTGGAGAAACATGAAGATCGAGAATTACGAATGAAAGATGATGGGAAAGAAATACTGTATCTGCTGCAAAATATAAAATTTAGCTCAGCCTTTCCATAACCAGGTGCTCATCCAGTAAAGGCTTCAAAAAAGGTTACTGTAAACTCAAGGAATTTAAAGTTTTAGTATTTTAGTATTTGCTCATTATTAAATACCTTTCGTCACTTCCAGTAGTTTTAGGTTGCCTTAGAGCACACACATTGTTCTTTTCACGCACTGTGTTACTTTGTAAATGGTCCCCCAGCTTCATATCAAGCATCAGCATCCAGCTACCATTAATTATAATACACTGCAAGTGATCAAAGGCATCTTTCCCTAAATGGTACTGCCTTTTTTTTTTGGTCCTGAATATACTGCACTTGTAGAAACTCAGGCAGTTTGTGAAACAGTGTTATATTACCATAGCTTCCACTTTTAATTTGTAATGTCTTTGAAAATTCTAGACTTTTTCCCCCCTTTGTTAGGGCTGTTCTGGTTAATGCTATTTACTTGGTTAATTGCCAATAACTCTCTTATATTTCTAGATCTGCAAAAATATGTGGCTGATTTTTATGGGTTTTTTGTGCATTTCTATCAGACTATACAACTGTAGGAACAATGTTTGCATTTCCATGCCAGCAGCAAGAAGAACAGATTTTCTCATATGCCTGAACTGAGGTTCATAACAGTACAAAATTGCAGAAAGAAATACATCTGTAGTGCTGTGCTTGTATTCTGGCAGGTACGTTCCTTAGGAAGAGCAGCTATTTGGCTTTAGGAGTAGCTGCAAGATCCCTGCCTTTTGGTTACTGCCACAGTTACTATGCTCCTAACTCCCCATTAATTGAGCTTTAATGCTGTTTAGAATTCCCTTTTGCAACTTCTTGAAATTCTTCTCCCTCAGTATTTTTCCACTGGTTCTAGTATATATCCTTACAGTCTTTTTGCTGCTACATGTTCAAAGCTTCCCAGTTCTAAGCCAAGTGCTGGACTGTGTGAGAGAACAGCAAGGAGAAGCAACAAATCTGATGGGAAACTCCTGAAATCAAAAGTGCAGTATGTCACAAGGTGAAATATAAGACGAGGGTTTAAAAAGCAGCTTTTTACTCATACACCTCAATATCTGTAAATGAGTATGTTTAGCTCTTTCTGTGATCCAAAGTTTGTTGAAACAGATTTGTTTCCAGCTGTCTTGTGCCCAAAACCAAATTTTCAGTGAACCTGCAGCATCCATAAAATCTAGTGTTTGTAGAACAAAGCGTAAGGAATACACCATCTGTTTAGCTTTTGAGAAGATTAACCTTGATTAGCTTTAGAAATCTAAATGTGAAAAATATTAGGCATGTCTAGATCATTATTTTTCTGGTAAAACTGTCCTGTGCAGATGTGCCCTTTTTTGTTGACTGCCGGCATTGTCAAGATTTAAATTAAGCTTGATGGTTAATTGGCTAGCTGAAAATGAAGTGAGGTGAATCCTGCACTGATTGGTTTCAGTTTTGGTGAGATGGGATAGGGGAGCTGATGTGAGCGTCACATTTTGTTCCTGAGGCAGGTTTTATAGTCTGTTTTGAGGACTCCCCCATTTGTAATTCAGTTGTAGTATGTTAATGTGAGAAAAGAGATTATGGTCTAAACTGATAAGCCACTTTGATTACAGAGAAATGAGAAGATATAAAATTGCTAATCAAGAATAGTAATGCAGGTGATACAGGGTGGGAATAGTTTTACAGCTGGCTTGAAAGACTCCAAAGTAATAACAGCCTTTGTAGTAAAGCTTTGAGGGTGCTGCTGACCTAGATTTGAAAGACTTTTAAAGGTAGAATTTGGATCTGAAACTGTAGATAACTTTACCTAAGCCAGTCTTCTGATTAAGGATAGGCTTGAAGCTCTGCATTAATCTTAACCACACATCCTGTGTCAAGGAGCTGTTGCAATAGTGTGATGGAGACTTCTCCCTGATTGATCTTGAAGCTGTTCTGTGTGATAGTACTTTAAATATTTTTATGGAGTATGGGTAGGTTTCCAGTTTGTTTTACTGTTGTAATTTGAATAATGCCATTGCTATCTTAGTAATGAAAGCTAGCAGATCTGAGCAGTTAAATTATGCTGATTCTTAGTAACTATTCTATTTTGAGCAATAGTCATACAAAACAACTTCCAATTATCCTATCCAGTCTGAAATTGCCTGGAAAAAGCTTACTCCTGTACTTAAAATACACTTTGAAACATGAAGTAGTCACTTTGCCTGTGAGACAAGACTGTCTGCTAAATAAACATGAAAGGGTTGTGCATGTTGTGGAACTCTTCCCTGCACTGTCCTGTACTGTATCCTGACCCCATGAATAGAGAGATGCTTTAAATTCATGCAAGCTTTCCCCCCCTCTCTGTAATGCGACTGTATTCCACCTCCGGGTCTGTTTCTTTGAGTAGATTAAATTTCCATACATATCATGGGTTTGAGTTTTACTGTGTGAAATTAGGATAAAACACTGCTGGACTGTAACAAGTTACTTGAGTTTAAATCATTTCTAAAATGTTCCACTTTTATTCTGCCTTACCATGATGCAATGCCTGGTGTTACTGGTGCCTTGTATTTATTCCCCATGCAGGTGGACCTCACAGTGCAAGAAAAGGAGAAATACCTTAACGTGTCCCGTTGGTTCAACCACATCCAGCATTACCCCGGTGTCCGACAGCATCTGTCTGATGTCGTCTTTATCAAGAACAGATTATACACTAATGCTCATTAAGGCAGATCTTAATGTTGTGTTGGAATGAGGTGAGGGAGTTCAGAAGTTGTGCTGTCCAAAGCCACTCACCTGCAAATACTGTTTTGTAACCTTCTGTATGTGAACCGAAACTGTCAATGCCTCAAGTCATACAACTGCATTGAATTGCTGTTGTTCATTCAAGAGTTTGAACTAAAGAATTGTTATTGTGTATCTGATTAAATGCAAAAATGGTAAAAAGGTGGGAAAATGGAGTTTTAATTCACTATTTTAAAAAAAATTAAGGTTCTTTTAATTAAACATTCAAGTGAAATTACATGATCTTTACCATCAATTATTCACTCCTTTTGCTATTTATTGAATGTTTATGTATGTCAACCAGCTTTCTTTTCATTTTCCGTGGATGTTTACACTAGTTTTGTACGAGTTAAGAGCTATATTGTGTGCCAAGGATGTGAAAAAGGGAACATGCAAATGTTACAAAGTATTTATGTGACCGAATAAATTATTTTAAAACTGTAGTCCTAATTTGGCTGTGGAACTTCTTAGTTTTTCTTCAGTGAAGAAGATTTCAAAAGGTTAGTTCACTTCCTTACATTGTACATTTTGTGGTGTACACTTTTGACTGTGGAAGCATTTCCTTTCAAACTGGGTAGCAAAGTTAGTGTCCTTAAAGATTTTGCATGTGCCTTGCTTCGTTTTTTTACACAAGTGCAGATGCACTTTTCCCGCCCTGAAACAAAACCAACCAGAATCCTCAAGATAATTTGCTCCTCTATCAAGTTCATTACCGATGTTTAAAATGGGCTTTAAAACCAACTACACTGTTGTTGAATCACACATTTGGATACGTCATTTTACTGTAGAATGTGATCCTCTGATTTTTATTTGTAAAAAGTATAAAAGTGCAAACTTAAATTGGTTAATTACCTTCTCCACGATTCAGATAACATTTCTTTTAAGACAAAAAATAAATACAAAAATACTTTGATATTTTAATTGACAAATGAACTTCTACGTTGGTTTTTTCAGCAGTGCTTAGCAGACAGCTTCACTCGTACATTCTTTTGTTTTATGTGCTACTTAGAAGCCTCTCACCCAGTAAATATAAAAAAAAGCTATCTTGGATAGATGTTTGAGCATTTTAAATGTTAAAAGGCCTTAAAAAAATATAATGAGATGAGGTAATAAAAATATATCCTGACATAAATGGACAGAAGAAACTTGGAAGGATAAGCATAGCCTGGACAATTCCACGCTCTAATAGGTGTTTCCTGTAGATATACATAATTTTATTCTTAATTCTTTTACTGAAGGTTTACAGGCACACCAAGTTACTTTAAGGGCAATACTTTCAGCAATTTCTCACCATTTCTGGGGGACTTAATTCTCCACTTCTAGCTACTCTTGTTCCTTGCTATTTAGAAGCTCACCTTATGTACTTACAAAAATCTCTCTGAAATCTTTTCATCTGTTCAAGAGTTGTGGAGTGGGCTTTAGTACAAATATTTGTGAGGAACTTCTTTCTCAAAGCTTTTCATTTTCAACTGCCTGAGCTCTTCAGGTTTTTACTGTTATTGTACCTTTAATATCCAATTTATTCAAAAATTTGTTACCTAGTAGCATTTATTCAAGTGAGTTTGCTTTTTCCGTCGTGTATGGCGACAAGTGATGGTAATACTTATAAAAATACCTGCATTTCAACTAAATTCTGCTGTAGTGAACCATTTTCTTTTTCAGAGTGGGTGCATGGGTGTGAATCATCAGTGCATTTAGTTAGGGAAGTTTCACGTTCATCTTACGGATTTATTGTTTTTATCAATGCTTTTGCAAATGAGAATGATTGAAGTTCTTTAAAGTGAATATGCAAGCCTTCAACCATGAAAATAGCTTACATTACAGCTGAGAATGCTGATATTGAGCTGGAGCTAAATGTTGCTGGGAACAATACTGTCATCTTTTCAGTTAGGTTGTTGTAGAGATGATGCTACAAAATGTCATATTTTTTTAAATCCCGAACAGCTGCTGTTTGCAAGTATTGGGATTTCTCAGGCTGGCTACATGCTACTGCTGCAGTATCCCCTAGCCTCTTGTGCCAGTTTTATTTTCTCTGGTGTAGAACAAAAGTGTTACTTGCTGCTGAAATGTTAAAAAAAAAGTTCACCTAGTAGAAAGATCAAATGTTTAGAAGCGGATTAGTAGTATTTAACTCCCTACTATCTAAAAGGCATTTGTTAATTATCATATACTAACTTGAGCACAATTCAATTTTCTTTCCCCTGCTTAGAGAAACTTTAGGGGATAGAGGGTTAAAAGCAAAGAAGGATGAATTGAGACTGCCTTTAGAGAGATGACTGGGAAAACCAGATGGTATTGATTTTTGTCGCCTCTCCCCCTTTCTATCTAATGCCTTTTGATCAAGGACAAATAAATCTGTAAGAAAACTTCTGAAAAATCCCACAATTCTATTTGAGTCGGTCTGAGACTGTATGAGGTACATATTTTACAACTAGGCTTCACAATTTTAAAAGAGATGTGTAGTGGGAGCTCTGAAATTATCATTGATGGTCTGTGGCTTGCATGGGTAAATGTTCAGCTGCTTTTAAAGCTACTTCCTCTTTCCGTAATATTTTATTATACTTTCGCTGAACATTAGTAAAAGAGACTTTGCTCCCTTGCAACCCCTTTCTCCATTCTTGTAACTCCAGTTGCTGAAGGGCACTGTGATGTTTTACTTTTGTTGCTTTGCATTTTGATGATGATGATGACCACAGTGATGTGTGGAATTTATTTTCACAGCATTTCATGAACAGCACCACTTTCATTTGTTAATGTATCTCATCATTGCAGTATTATTATTTTGCATAATTGTTCTAATTTATTCAAGGGGCCTGACATGTTATGGTCTTATAAGTATGTGCCCCTGGGACTTGAGTGTGTTGCCATATGGTGAGATAGTGCTGCATGACAACCTTTCAGCAATAGAAGAATTCAGCAGTGAAATAAATATGATAATTGTAAGTGTTCAGTGAAATCCTGCACTTAGCCCTTTGTCATTTTCCCTTGATGCCAAGATGACTGCTTGTAGACCAACCAGGTTGAAACAGCTGTTCGAGTCTAGCATGAGATATGTTAGAAATGCGCTGATAATTTTTAGTTGTCTTTGTGTGTGTAACTTCACTTTTAAGTTAGGGTTCAGTTTAACTTCTGAAGTCTCTAGGTGTGTTGCTTGCTCTAAGACTTGTAACTGGACAAGAGTAATTTATAGAAAAATCCAGGTTTAATACAGGATTAGGAAAGACTGAGCAGGAATGAGAATTTTGGAAAGATTACACTGAACAAACAAAAAATAGTTCCAGTTTAGACCTGGGGACTAAGAAGATCTGACCATTCAAATTGAACCAAAGTGAAGGGTTTTGAACAGCAAAATTAAAGAAATTATTTATGATAGCTTAAATGTGTAACATGCTTTCTGTCCTGTTCCTGGTCATGAGTGCTTTACCTTCCAGGCTGGTATCGCAGTGTTTCACACAGAAAATGAGTTAGAAGATACCACTTCTGGTTCACATTTGAAAGAGTCCAATCCAGCCACTTTTGTTACCTTTCCTCCCCCCACTCAGAGTAAGTACTTGCTGTGAATAGGTTTGCACCTATTGAATTCCCAAGATTCTTTGTGTAGAAAGTGTAACTTTTACCAATGAAATCTCCTAGCAAACACCTTAGCTGTTTGCCTGCAAGAGGTGATATTTTCACATATTTTTAATCTTTTCCATTTTGTATTCCTTCTCTATGGTCTATCCAGCCCTCTTCAAAACATTTGTAAACTAAAGTAGACCTTCTCTCAGGAATTTCATGCTACTGGCTGAATCTTTGGAAGCACATAGGCCTCAAAATAGGGAACTGATTTTTAAGGTGAGGTGCACCTTAGACGTCCCAATAGGTGGTACAGCTTTGGAATATCTGGATAAAATAATTCTGTAACTTCACTTTGTTTCACTCTCACATGCATACACACACATTAATTTCAATTATAGCTGATGGAAGATTAATCTGGACCCTTCAGTGTGGGTGTGGATCCTGGGTTACTTGCAGGGAGCTGAAAAACTTTAAGCAAGGTTTAATGTAGATGTACTTTGCAATTCAAATAAGACATTAATTTATATTCATTATTTTATATGAAAATGTGTCTTAGAAGTGTTTTTGTCTGTGAAATACACCCAAATAACATTACAGATGAAAGAGTGGTAGAACTTAGCTATCTTTTATTTTCTGCTTGGTTAAAAAAACAATAGATGATCAAAAGACAGATGTTGATTTGGAAGAGGACAAAGTACTTAGAAAGCGATTAGCTGAGAGAGATGAAAATAAAAGAATAGATAGAACTATAAAATCATTATTAAGAAATCCAGTGTAAGCTCTTCTATTCAGAAGTCTGTGTTCATAATCTTTCTGATCTGCTAGCATCTTGTTTTCATCTCTGCAGGTGATTTATGGTCTGTCTGCGACATGAATGTTGAAGTTGGGAATAGATTTTTTTAAGTAGATTTTCTTGGTATGGCCACAAATTGATTTTACAATTGTATGTATATACAGAACCTAGTATGTAGTTTTTTTTCTATCTTTTTGATTTTTTTTTTTTTTTGGCTAGAAAGAGGGATCAGTAGGCCTATTTGATTTTTTTTCCTCTTTTGGTTTTTAATCTTATCACCTCTTTTAATCTTTGGTGCGTTTCACAGTCTTTAACTTCAAAGTGTAATTGCAGTGATGCAGCTGCTTAATGGATTGCTACATTTAATATTTTCCCCCTAAGAGCAGTATTTCTTCTTTGCATCTATAATTGGCTTATGCAACTGCTGTCCCTGATGGAGATGCCAGGTTTCATATTCACCATACACCTGAGCACATGCTTACTAATTTGGTAATCTTAATATTTTTTTTTCTATTTATCAAAATTGACTTTGATTACACACATTTTCTTTGTGCTGGAATTATATTGCAAAGGAAATTAAGGGGAAATGCCACCGTGCACCTCTTGCTTTGCAGAGTTTTCAGATTCAGACTGGGCCTTTGTATCCCACAGCTTCATGTCTTGAATGTGAGATGTATGGTACCTCAGAGCCCAGCTCCAGGGCAACATAAACATATCACAGATTTGGAAAGGGGGATCGATTTTGTAGCAAGCATTGCTTCTTGCTGCTCTGTGCACATTCCTGCAGGCGTGGCCTTTATTTTCCACGCTGGTAGTGACTACAGCCAGCGTGGCTGCCACAGAACACCACGCATCCCATCTCTCACTCTGCAGGCAGGCAAGAGGTGATTAATTTTTCATTGTTGCTGCATCTGAAGGATTCCCCTTTCCCCTCCTACACTACCTTGGCCCCTTTAGGAAGATTTTCATCCATTAAACTTTCCCTTCTCTGTTGGAACTAAATCTCTTTCAGCATTTTCAGGCTGGTGATCTAATTTGACAGCTCGTAGGTGATGTCTGTTCCTCTTCAAAGAGGCAGGTAGCCCCAGGCTA